GTAAAGAATATATTCTTCCCTTCTGCCACTTCCCTATTCAGATTTTATTTTTGTGTCACCCTCAGTATTCTATGTGATTTCTGGATATTAATTCTTTGCCACATTGGTTCTTCATTCTTCTCAGAGGTTAACTTATAATTTTGTTTCGGACATAATGTAAACAGAACAAAGTGTAATGTTGTATGAAATGTTCAGATGAAAAAACAATGTCCTGTCAATGTTGCTTAATTTTTCCTTCCATTACTTCTTTTTTTACTCACAAATTGCTTTCAATGCTGACATAAATAAACATGTCACTTTATCTTTTATTTTCCTTAGGCTTTATTTATTTACTGCAATACCTTCTGACTCCATTGAGAACAACTCTTGTGTAGAGAGACAGATCAAAGTATGCTTGGGGTTTGGATTATCTGATAGGCAGCCTGATTGAACAGTCAGTCCCTCATTTCTTCATTTTACCTCTGGCTCATGAATCCATCCTTGTTCTATATTAAGACTCACTGAGTTCCAGGATATGTTTTTATTAGTTGCCATGTGGACATACATGACTTCATAATATATTTTGATTCAGAAGAACAAATTTCCAATTTTCCATGTTTCTTTACTTATTGTTCTATTTATTTATTTATTTTTGTACTTGAGACTGAATCCAGGGGTGCTTTATCACTGAACCAYATCCCCAGCCATTATCTTTTTGTTGTTGTTGTATTTTATTTAGAGACAGGATCTCAATAAGTTGCTTAGGGCCTCACTGAGTTGCTGAGGCTGGCTTTGAGCAGTGATCCTCCTGCCTCAGCCTCCAGAGCCACTGGAATTACAGGCATGTGCCCCTGTGCCTGGCTATGACCTTAGAATTCATTTTAAATTTTATTCATTTGCTTTATAGTTTTATTTATTAATAATATAAGTGATTTTTTGAAAAAAAAATTGAAAGTGCACCCAGAATGAGACAATAACAAAAGAAATCTTACCCCCTTCTCACTGCTTTTTTTCTGAAATTAACACTGTCTTTTTTTCAACATGTACTTTCAGGATTTCTATTATAGATAGTTTGGAAGCTTTGCCACTATTCCTCCTGGGCAATGAGAAAAGAATGTGTCAGAGCAAGGTCTCTTTTCTGAGTGTGGAAACAATTCAATACAATTTTTTAATTTGCTTTACAATTTATCATAGGAATGCATTTTTAATTGAGAAGACATCATGTTAATTTCTCAGATTTTCATTTATAATCTTTGTGACATGTGAAAAATAAACTATACATTAGATACATGTGCAAGCCATTGTATTGCCACTCTAATATACTAAATGGTGTCTTATTTTGCTTGAAACATAATCTAGCAACTAATGTGTCATAAAGATGCCACCGTAAGCATGCCAGTTATTGTAAAGCACTTTGCTTTCTTTTTGTTATTTCCTAATGATGAAGTATTTCACTCCTGGAAACACGTTACGAACTGCATTGCTACTTAATTCTTAAACTCATTTCTGTATGTATTTATTCAACATTCTCTTGGTGATAGGAGGTCCTAAATAAACATTTCTCAAAGGGGAGAAGAATGAATGAAACATACTACTTAAATAGAGTGCTATACAAAATGCCACATTAATAACTATGCAGGGATTTTTAGAAGTGGCTGATGTAGGAACAAATGCATGACTTTTATTCACAGCAAAGCCTGAGAAATGAATAGTGGGTACATGTGATGTGTGATTTATTCATACAACACTAGTAGGAGATTTATAGGCATCTATTAACCTACTTGAGTTCCAACCCTGTCTTAGCTTGTCTTTTGTCACGATTAGCTGTGTTGTCACTGTATGTTAAATAACAAGTTGTCTAAACTGAAATATGCAAGAAATACGAAGACAGAAGATGAAAATTATTACACATGTACATCACTTCAGCTAAACCACAGATATATCTCTGCTTGTATGTATGTGTTACAAAAATTACACATGCACATGTATTTACACAAAAGCAAGATGTATTATAATGGACTGAATTATGTCTCAAAAAATCTATATATTAAAGTACTAATAATCAATACTGAAAAATGTGATCATATTTGGAGAAAAGATCTATACTGAAGTAATTATATCAATATAAGTTCATTAGTTTTGGCTCTAAGCCAATCTAACTGGTGCCTATACAAGAGGAGCAAATTTGAACACACAAATCTACAGAGGACAAAGAAGAAGACACAGGTAGATGATGGCCATCTATAAGCAGAGAAGAAAAGTTCAGGAGAAACCAACCCTGCTGACTCCATCATCATAGACTTCTAGTCTCCAGAACTGTGAGAAAAGAAATTTCTGGTGTTCAGCTACATAGTCTGTCATAGTTGGTTATAGCAGCCCTAGGAAATTAATACAGCCATCAACTTTAGGATTAGAAAAGCCATATGTTGGGAAAAAACAATTATTTTGCTCCTGTCTGCATACTCATCTTTGAAAAAGATGAATATTATCGGCCTGCACATTATGGTAGGACCTGATTTGATTCTTCCCTGTAGTAAAACATCACTAAAGAAAATTACTACATTAGCTGACACTTCTAATGGATCACCCTTCCTTCAATAGATTAGAAGTCCAAGTTGAAGTGACYACTACCCACTGCCTTAGTCCATTTTGCATTGCTTTAACAAAATATCCAAGTTTTTGGGCTGGGATTGTGGCTCAGCGGTAGAGCGCTGGCTTAGCATGGGAGGGACTCAGGTTTGATCCTCAGCACCACATAAAAATAAAGGCATTGTGTTGTGTCCATCTACACCTAAAAAATAAATATTTTTAAAAATATCCGCGTTTATGGGTAACTTATAAAATAAAGGTTAATTTGAGTCATACTTCTGGTGACTAGTAGGTACAAATATCCCAGTGACAGCATCCCAATGAGGGTCCCAGACTGCATGACACTATGGCAGAGAAGCAGGAAGGAACCAGCTGCATGTGGAAGGGCGCATGTGTGAACAAGGAAGCTAGAGACAGTGGAGATGGCAAGGCTGTTCTTTTTATAACAGCCTGATCTTGAGGTAACCAAACCACTCGAAGGAGACCTGTCCCACACTTTCAAGTCAGCATTAATGCATTAATGCATTCAGTTAGAGCCTCCATGACCTACTTACCTTCCACAGGGCTTCACCTCSTAAAGGTTCCAACACCTCAACATCAACAGACAAGGAACCAAACTTCCAACACATGAACCTCTGGGTCACCAGCCCTAACCACAGGATAGCACCCCCTTCCATGTGTTGATCACACTTGATTGACTAAGGTAAGATTAACAGGTAGCTGAGTGTCTGAAAGACCTTGGACCGACATTAGGCTTTGAAAAGGTACCACATTCATTTCTCTTTGAGGTGCTTAGATCACTTGTGTGCTCCCTACCAGTACCCTGTTGGATATAACACATGTGGCAAGAGAAGAGACATGTGGGGAGGACTCGTTCCCAGGCAGCTTCATCCCAAACTCAGGTTCACAATGAATAGGAATGGGGTGAAGGATTTGCAAATGGAACAAACTTAATGGCATTGCTAAAGTCAAGAGAAAGCCAGATGTCAAAAACAAGGAAATAAAGACCTCAGTACCATTTGATCCAATACAGAACATATGGTAAGCTTTTTTTTTTTTTTTTTTTTTTTTATACCAGGGATTGAACCACAGGCAGAGCTTAACCAATGAACCACATTCCCAGCCTTGTTATACTTATTTATTTATTTAGAATTTTGAAACAGGGCCTTGCTAAATAGCTTAGAGCCTTGCTGAGGCTGGTCTTGAACTTGCAATTTCCCTGTCTCAGCCTTTTCAGTCACTGAGATTACAGGCATATACCACCATGCCTGGAGACATATGAAAACTTCTACTGAGATATGCAACTATCATTTATCAGTTCTTCCAGACCTGTGTGGCTGCCCCCTGTGGCCACATGTCCTCCCTGTGGACTGCACCTGGCTCTTGAACTCACACAGGTTTTGCTGTCACATTCTTAATCTATAACTGTAAGATGCATTTCTCTGCACTATCTTAATAAAACAACATGGGAATAAAGTTTTATAATAGCAACAAAGAGGGGGGAAAGTCATAATTTTCCATGCTTCATGGTTCAGAATAATTAATTTAATAACTGTGTCATATGAGAAGAGTAAATAAAGAGAAGAAAAGGGGTGTGGATATATGTGATCACTGAAGCAATACACAATTGCAAGGAAAAACAAATTATCAGGGTAGTGTCAGAAATAAAAGCTCCGTGGGAAATTTTTTTTTGCATGTTAATTTGATTCTTCTATTGAGTCTTAAAGCTGCAGTGTCTCTACAAGAGAACTGTTTATCTCCACTTGTTTTTATTTTTTAGCTATTATATAACCTTATGTCTCTAAAAACCAATTAAACACCTTTCTGATCTCTGCTGGGAATTTTCCTTAAGTAGTTGTCTACTAGACCATAACAGGACTGTGATTTCATTTACAACATCTTGCTGGAGATTGTTTCATCATCAGAGGTGTTAAAAAAAAAAGAACTGGAATTAATCAAGGACAGCAGAATCAAAATAAAATGCAGTTCTCTCTGGACACAGTTACATTCTCTGGGTTCGTTTCACATGAAACACCAAGACTCTAGACCTAAGAGGAAGTGTTTTATTTTCTTGCCATGGTCCTTAAATTTGCAAGAAAGGATTATTTTTGAGTACAAGGAGACAAACTTAAATCCCATGCCAGAAATATAGGCTTCTAAAGAAATTATTTCCTTTAAATTGGCAGATATAAAACTAAGTGTTCCTTGATTTGGTTAGCTAAAGCTTAAACCTCATCTATTCTCCCTTGTTTCATCCTTGAATGTTAAGGAGATATCTCCTTTGCCTTTCCATATTAAGACTCTCAATATTTCCATTCAAATGGCAGGGCTCTATACATCCTGGATATTGTATATTCCCAAGATCACCATCATCCTCCACCTCTGTCCATCCTTTCTAAGAGCCAGCCCTTGAAACCAGCGGCCGCAGTGGCTTACCGACAATGTTTATGAGATCCTGTCAGGGTTTCAATCACAAAGCACTCGCCATCATTGAGACAGTATGCAAGGTCCTTGTCTCGGCAGGGTTTGAAGTGCTCGGATCTCTCAGTGGAATATGTCGTTGTATCTGTCAAGGAGAGCACAGAGGGAATACTGTCAGCATGCATTCCAACACCAACTGCTCCTGTCACTGGCCCAGATGTGTGCATCCAGGCCTGTGTATGGGGTACAATGGCAGGGACTTGAGACAAACAGGATTGACACTAAACAGTATTGAGCAACACAGCTAGTTAACCCACTGTATTCAGTTGTCCTCATCAGCCCTCTATATCCGCAAGTCCACATCCTGGGATTCAACCAACTATAGATGGAAAAAATTCAGAAAGATAAGAGCTGTATCTGTACTGAACATATCTACACTTCTTTTTATCTTGTTGCATCACATACAATGTAACATCTATTTATATACCATTTACATTGTACTTGGTATCATAAAACAATCCAGAGATGATTTAAAGTATATAAAGGGGCATGCATAGGTTATGCAAACTCTACTCCATGTTACTCAAGAGGCATGCACATCCATCTGGACACCAATCCATTGAGTCTCCTGAGCCAATACCCTGAGGTTGACGAGGGACCACTGTATTTCTTCACTGGGTTTTAATAATTGGAGTTACTCTAGAGAAGTCTCATTTGAGGACACATTAACAGTAAAAGTTGATTGATCCTGAGCCAAACACCCAAATCTACTTTCAGCAAATGTGTTGTATGAGGTATTGAAACAACATCTTTTTTTGCTTTATTGTTGCCAAATATCATTAAACATCTGATCAGTGTATTTCGTGATTGTTCTGTAGAAAACTCATGTCAGTTTTTGAGTTCTTTTAGCTACAGCTACAATTGGCTAATAGCTAAGCCAATTATTCTTTCACTTTCTCCTTTTATTATGTAATTAAAATGCAAATGTTCCAAATTCTGAAACAGATAATCACATGTGAAGAATGTTTCTGGTAAATATTTAACAGGACCAAATTATTGTCATTTTTTAGCATTCTCTTAAACATGTATTTTTGAAATCATAATCAGTTACATTTTTAAATTAAGCTATACATCTATAGCTGCTTTCCAAATATGAAACTAACCATAAATATGTACTATCTATAGGATACAGATTCTATCACCATATGTAGACATTTTTCTAGCTATAGAATTTTCAGCATATGAAGTATTAACACCAATTCCACTTTAACAGTCAAGAGAAAATATATGTATTTAAAAAGTCAAAGATGAATAAATTATTCAACATAAGCTTTTTAAATTTCCTTTTTATAGATCTAGATTGCTAATAATGTTCACCAGCATGGCATACGAAATCAGCTCACTAACTACAGGTCACAATGAGCTTCTTCCCTGCTTTTCATGCAAACTGATGGGAAACCAATCATCTTAAAAGGAAACCTGCTCATGTCTCTCCCACATCTAAAAGTCCTCAGTGGGGCTGACATATATACAGTGGCAAAATGGAAACTTGGCATGTGTGAAGCCCTGTGTTCAATCCCCAGCACCACAATCAATGAATACATAAATAAATATATTTTTTAAGGAAATAAATATTCCTCAGTGGTTACTGTCATGAGGATAACTTAATAAAACAAAGAAAGATAGACTTTCTTTTAACTTTAATTTCTTTTAATGTAATTTTGCCTATCTGCTCTCTTTTTAATAGCATTAGAGGAGTACTGGGGATTAAACCCAGGGGCTTTAACCACTGAGCAACATCCCCAGCTTCCCCTTCAACTTTTTTTTTTATATTTTATCTAGAAACAGGGTCTTGCTGAATTGCTTAAGACCTCAATAAATTGGTGAGGCCGGTTTTGAACTTGCAATCCTCCTGCCTCAGTACCATCCCCCTCCCAGAGCCAAAGGGATGATGGACATCTCGCTGGTCACTTCTTGCACTCCAAACATACCAAACATACAACTTAATTTTCAACTATTATTGTATTCCCCTCAAATGCCAGGTTCTGTCACACTGCTCTTGTTCAATCAAACTTCTTTCTCATCCACTTATTTTTATTTTTTTTTCTGGGAGAGACCCTGAAATCCTTCAGAACTTGAAAGATCTACTCCTGTCCTGTGCCTCCCCCAACCCTGCTTCCCATTATTCATTTAATGCCATAGTAGTTTGTTCCTAAGTTTATCCATAACCATCCTTTTAGTCTATGAACTCCTTTAGGAGAGGAGTTGAAATCTAATCAGAATTGTTGCTCAGTAAAAATATTGTCAATAAATCTGTCCTCCTAACATCACCAGCCATTTAAATGGTATGAATGAAAGATGGGGTCATTTAAGATCTCATTACATCTCTATCAATAGTTATTGTATCTCTTCAAGCAAAACATTAGATACAACTTTACAATTATGCTATTGTTTTGGTAGATGTATAATGTTAATGAATATTTCAAAAACAATACCTTAAGATTATTTATATAACTCTCATATTCCTCACTTATTGTGAGCATTGAAAAAACAAATTGACTTTTTGGTATCCTCCTTCTTGGTGTTACAATGGAAACTTTTTTTTTTTCAGTGTAAAATATCTGATTGTTAATACTTTGAAACAAAACAAAGACTCTGCAAACAGACACATTTTCCATTTTCTAAGAGATTGTCTGTACAGTGAAGATCTGTTATTCAAGGCAGTGTGTGATAAACAGCCACACAGAATCAATCTCTCTTTCTCTGGGAAATATTTAATATTCAAGAGATCCAACCAAGATATTCAATATGAAATGCCACACAGTTCACTGCTACTCTGACTGCTGAAGTACATTAACTCATGATCAGTTAGTTAACTTTTCCTTTAATTTCTTATTATCTGTTTATTGATATTCACTGATCATTCCTTTAAGAACAGCTTTTCATTAACATAACCTACAGCATAAAAAGTGAGATCCTTATTTTATAATCAGTGGTTTTAACAAGCTACAGACTCCAAAGGCAATACAATGGCAAAGCAATTACAATCAATTATTTCCATCTGACAAGGGATGTCTACTGTGGTTACCGCCTATCAAGTTGCCAGTTATTGGAATGTTACAGAGGATCAGAGACGGGCACAAGTGTCTCTGCCAGTCCTGGGTGGGAGAGCACAGAGATATGCAGCTTAGCGTATGCTCAGATTTTCTATTTCCATAGCTCAGAGGATTATGAAATTAATTAAAACACACATACTTATCTCTTATAACGCCTTAAGTGGTTTCAAAGAAAACATCATTATTACCCCTTTGAATAGCTTAATGTTATAAAAGTGAAAATATGCAGTGTTTGTGCTTCTTATAGTCAGTAAAATACAAATATCAATAAATTTGAAATCTTAAAAGAGTTTGCCTAAGCATTTCAACATAGAGTGCCAAAAATCACAGAGACTTTGGGTAGGGTAAGGTACATTCATCATGACATGATAATTTGCTCTTGAAAGTCATGTCAATGCTATGGATAGAAACAGAAAATGAAGTCACTATTCTGTTAAGACTTTTGTTAAGTACATAATAAGCATATTATATCCAAATCACTTTTGGCCAGACCATCTATTATCACCACACATAGTCTAACAAAGAGACAGTGATGATGTTGGGTTATGCCTTCCAATATTTATATAATTGATATTGATACCCTCAGATATTTACACACACACACACACACACACACACACACACACACACTCTCTTAATTCTTTAACATAAAATATATTACAAAAATTAAATAGCACAAATTGAAATAGAGAAATAAGACAAATATTAAATATAAGGTGCAATTCTTCTCTCCTCCCCTAAGGTAATATAACAGGTTCTAATACATTCAGCTGAGTATTTTGTTTAGAAGGGTAAACAGAAAATTTGTAGGAATGAAATAACAAATAAGATCTAACTCCAAGTTGTAGCTGTGAACAACCTTGGGGTATCTTAGTAATCAGATATAGAGCTCTCACCTATGAATGTATCTAACATTGTGAAACCTGTTTTTATTTTTAAAAACTGTATCCTATAAGATAATCTAATAAATTAAGCTGGGTATAGAGTACATGGTACCATTTTGTCATATACTTAATCAAACACCTATTGTATTATGTTTTTAAAATATTTTTAGATGTTTATTCTTTATTCTTTCATTCATATATGGTACTGAAAATCAAACCCAATGCCCCATACATGCTAGGCAAATTCTCTACAACTGAGCCACAACTCCAGCCCCATCAAATATCTATTCTATACATATAATTTGGTAAATTTATTATAGCTATTATTGGCCATCAAAAACTGTATGAATGAAGGTCTAGGTGAGTCAATATTGCCATGTATCCCCATTTGTCTTTCAAGGCTCTTCTTTATGCTTCCTTACTCTAGAGAGTGCTTCATTAGACATCACTCTTTCCACCTGTACCTCTATATGGATATCCCATCTGATTGGATCATGAGTGTTTGTGGAGGACAGCAGGCCTCCACATCTCCCATGGTCTTATACATGGCCTGACAGGAAGGTGCACACAATAGATGCTTATAGAAGAATAATCTGTTTATTCAGAGTCTTTTTCTAAATGTTTGTGGTGCAAAGTATGCAATATTTTTGTTACATCATAAAAGAAATCTCTATTTAAAAAAATGGAAGAACATGAATAAATGTTTAGAAGTTASGATGTGAGAAGTGTTTCAAAACCAATTTATGCAGATTTTATATAGATAGAAAGATAAGCTCCACAGCATGGAGGATGAAAGAAAACAAAAAAAAAAATTAAGAAGTGTTTTTTAAAGAGAGGGGCATGCAGGATAGAGGATTGTGAAGTTTAAGATGAGCAGAGATGGTGCTAAGGAAGAGCCTTCCAAGCCCCATGATCAGCAGTCAAGGGCTTAGCTCTAAGAAAGAAGTCAGTCCACTGGTTGAAGTATAGTGCCCCATCACTTGGGGCCACTTGAGCTATGCAATTATCTGAATCACTCATCTGGCACTTATTATGTGTAGTTTAATGTGTATTCTTCTTTATTTTTTTAATGGGTTTTGGTCTCTCTTTCCAGGGAGGTCAGGGAGAGTACTTTGTTTTTAACTTCTGTATTCTTTCCACACCAT